CGCACTTGTCCAGCCTCAGCTTGAGACCGGCGTCCTGCAATCGTGCCAGGACCTTGCACAGGTTCTGCAGGTGGTCCCCGTTGTCGGTACCGGTAACCAGGATGTCGTCCAAGTGCACCGCCACGTGCCTCATGCCCCTGAAGAGGTTGTCCATCTCTCTCTGGAAGATGGCTGGGGCTGAGGCCACGCCGAACGGTAGGCGCGTGTACTGGTAGAGTCCCATGGTTGTTGAAATGGTGACATACTTCCTGGCGGCATCCTGGAGTACCAGCTGCTGGTAGGCATCTCGAAGGTCGAGCTTTGAGAAATTCTGTCCCCGGGACAGAGCCGACCAGAGATCTTCTACCCGAGGCAGCGGGTACTTTTCGACGGTAGCGACGGGGTTTATGGTGACCTTGAAGTCCCCGCAGATCCTGACGCGGCCGTCTCGCTTGAGGACTGGAACAATCGGTGCAGCCCACTCGGAAGACTTGACGGGCCCCAGGATTCCCTCTCGCTGCAGCCGTTGCAGCTCCTGGGTGACCCCGTCCTTCAGGGCGAACGGCAGCGGACGCGGCTTGAAGAACCGAGGCCGGGCTCCCTCGGGAACGTGGATGCCGACCGTCGTGCCGGCGAAGGTGCCCACCCCTGGCTGGAACAATGACTGGAAGTCGGTCAGGAGGCTCGGAACGTCCTTCACCACGTGCAGCGCAGCTTCTTGGTACTCCGGCAGCCGAACACCCAGCGAGTGAATCCAGTTCCGGCCCAGCAGCGTCGGCGACGACCCCTTGGTTAAGTAAAGGGGAAGGATTGCCTTCCTGTCGCCAAGGCGAACGCTGACTTGGGCCCGACCCTGGACCTGGGAAAGCTGCCCGGAGTAGCTGCGCAGCATGACGTCAGACGCCTCGATGGACACGCCAGGGAAGGTCTGCTTGAACAGCTTCCCGGGCATGACCGACACGCTGGCCCCTGTGTCCAGATCCATGGTGATGGGGTGGCCGCAGATTTCGACTGACACCAAGTAAGGTGGCACGGACGATGAAGGCTTACTCGTCTGCCACACGTCGAAAATCTGCGGGTCGTCGGTTACGACGTGGACCCTGGCTGAGGAGGTACCCGGACCTGGTGCCGCCCGTCCCCGCCGCGTTCTCTTGCGATGACCACCCTGGCCGCGGGCTTGGCTGGAACCCGGGCTTGAACCAGGCTGCTGCTGCTGCTGCTGCTGCTGGCCGCCGCTCGTCCTCCCCCCTCGGCAGACACGTGCGAGGTGCCCAGTTCTCCCGCACGTGAAACATTGTGCGTGGACGAACTGGCATTGTGAGGGGGAGTGGGCAGCACCGCAGCGGCTGCAGGCACCGCTCCTTGCCGCCATCTTGTTCACTGCCGCTTCCGTCGACGGTGAGCCGGCCGCACGCGCTATCTCGCTGGCGGCCTTCGCTGCTGCTTCTATCGCCAGCGGTGCCTTCACCGCGTCGTCCAGCGAGGGGTCGGGGAGCTCCAGGAGTCGCGTCTGCATGGCAGGGTTGTTGATGCCGCAGACGAACCGGTCCCGGAGTAGCGAGTCCAACTGGTCGCTGAAGGCGCAGGTGCTCGCTAACCCTCGTAGCGAAGCGACGAACTGCCCGAGGGTCTCCCCGTCCTGTCGGCTCCAGTTGTTGAAGCGAAACCGCTCCATAAGCGTGGACGGCGCCGGGCTGAAGTGCGAGCGCAGCGTGGCGAGCAGCTCACCCAGCGTTTTAACGTGCGGCGTGGCCGGCTTGAGGAGGTCGAGCAGGAGGCTGAAGACTCGGGTCCCGCAGCTGGCCAGGAAGATGTCCCGTTGTTTCGCCTCCGGCGTGTCGTTCGCCCGGAAGAACACGTGGACCTGTTCTTCGTAGACCGGCCAGGCGGACCCATCTCCCTCGAACGGCTCGAGCCTCCCGTACAGCGGCATGGCGACAGGAGCGGGGTGCGGTGTTCCGACTCTCTCGGCGGCATGGGCCGAACCGTGCACGTTGGTGGGCTCCAGTGCCACGGTTCCTCGTCGCCAGTGTCACGATCTTTCTCGAACGTGGACGAAGGGGGCCGAAGCACCCGCCGAGAAGAGACGACACGCAGCCTGGTTGTGAGGGTGGACGATGTCTGGCCGGAGCGCGTGCGCTCAACGGCGTTTATTCGTGTGGTGACCAATGTTGCCCGCCGAGCCAGGCGGCCGCAGACGGGCGGACTGGGGGGGGGGGGGGGCGCTGCATACTTGTCACAGATCATGCTCAAGAGGCCGATCGTTCGGGCACCGTCCAGTTTCTCTACACAGCTTCTACCACACGTTAGTGGGATATTGTACACCACACCAATGGAACACACTTAAGGGTGGCTGTGGCGTTTCTGGCACTTGTCTTTGTTAAGGTTTTCCCGCTATAGAGCAAACCTTTTAACAGATTTGTGGCATAAGTTTGGGAGCTGAAAAGCACATCGTACCTTTCGCCTGCTCTTTTTAAATTATGCGAGGTTTTATGCATAGTATGCTACAGCTAGCTTTTGTTTCTGGTGATCTCTAGGTTTCTTTCGCTGAATCCCTGTAGTATTACGTACCAAAGCATCCACCTCCACCGAAAGGTAGTGTACGTAAATTGCGCACATTGATTACAAACCGAATGCACACCAGCTCAGAAAACTTCCCTTCCAAGATGTGGAACAGAAGTCACTTAGGCTGAATAGAAATCATGTGTACACCTCCAGAAATGCTAAGAGGCCAGCCCATAAACACCTTGTGTAATACAGTGCCGCGGAAAAGAGCCATCAGCCGCCAGGGTTGCATGCGAGCTCGATAAAACAATATGGCGAGCACCCGTGGCAGTGTTAAGATACTCGGTGGCGTAGTTTGCTCCTTGCTGGTGTGACTCGGCCATTTGTCAGCGCCATCTATGAGGAAAGGCTACAAGTAATTTGTGGGTGAATTACCCTTAAGAAGTTATTTTTATTGAACTGCTTCATCTATACCGACCTGTTGTTAACAGAGCCACGAAAGTCTACAAATAAGCTTCATTCAGCTTTGCGAAACATTTTACATCTTACAAAAGTAACCCGAATATGCTGCTCCTGCTCTGATGCTGGCAGGAGGGGTGAGCTGCTACTGTGGGCAAACTCATATCCTACTTCATACCCAGTTAATGACAACGTATACACTTCCTACAAGCCATATGGTGCAACTTGTCTAAAGTATTTGAATAATGTGAGTTATCAAGCCTGCAAGAACATGGGCAATGAAGCACTTGTCCTACCACTTATAAAGAAAGCAGACAAGGTAGGTGCTCCTCCCTCCTATTTGCCTGCAGCCTGCTTTTATCTTGGGTAGGATTCCTGCAGTGCCAATCATAGCTATAGCCATCCCAGTAGGAAATAGTATTAATACATTCTGAAGAGATACATGTAATTTGCACAACTACTTAGGTGGTCAGTTTTACCATTGCTTGGTACATTGTTTCAACGATCTGAATCGAGACTTGAGGTCACAAACGAATTCTTGAGAATGGCCTCGTGCAGTGGACCGAAGCCTGAAGGAATGTCCTTGATCAGCCTGGATGGGCCTGTATAATTTTAGATGAGAAAAAAAGTTAAGATTGCCGATTCTAGTCAATGTCATCGAACACATTGAACAGATTCAACACAAGAAAGCTTGAGATCCTTAAGTGCTTACATTTCAAAGCTTGAGATGGATACCTCATCAGCTCTAGATGACGCCTTGCTGCAGTCTTCAATTATGTGCTGCACTTCCTTTTAGAATACAGAAAACAAGACTTAGATAGTTAAATAAAAAACTTTCAGCCTTTCCAGCGGAGCTGTAGCTTCTGTTCTCGGCGGTGGCTTTCCAGGCGAGCAACCTGCTCTTTTTTCACAAGGGAATATGAAGCACTGGACGAAGTGCAACTTGAGGTGATAGCGGCCTCGCGGTGGTTGCGGAACCATTTGCACTGCTGCACACGTCACCGTCGCTCATAGATGATGACACTGAACACTGGACAACTACCGTCATTTATCAGCGACGGTGGAAACCAGACGGCTGTCTGGTTGCTGCCGTCGCTTATAGATGGCGGTAGCTGTCCAGAGTTTGGTGTCATCATTCCTCTGCTGGTGGATATGATCCTGGGAAAACTAGCCCTTAACCCTTTCTGGCCCAAATTTTCAAATTCACACGACATAATTTTTACTTGCGCATTTCTTTGTACAAAAAAGGCGAAAAATAAGGAAAAAAATTATTCATGCATTATTTTGCGATATTTTTGCTGAGAAAGGTTATGACTCCCACAGGAATCGTTGGCCTGTTGTGGTCAACTTCGAGTAGTCTTCTACTTCTTGTGAAAGTCGAGGAAGCAGTTCTTGTTGTTGCTGAGGCAGAGCCTGACGTTGCATTTTCTGCAGCTCCACTTCGTGTAGGAGGAGATGCAGTTTTTGCAGCGCTGCTTTTGATTCTGGAACTCTGACCAGTGCCTTATTTCGTCCTACCTCGTGTCATTCGATGGGCGGGGGTTTGCTGGTCGTCCTATTCTTTTGGAAGGTTCCCCAGGACTGCTGGCAGTCCTTCCTCTTTTCCTAGTATCTGTCTTGCCTGATCGTCGAAGAGCGTCTGACACATCCAATATGAACTCAAACAGTGTCATTTGCTTCGAGAGCTGAAGCTGCTGCGCGTTGTTATGGAGGTCGCCGACGCGCCGACGCTAGCGAGCTCCAAAGTCCAAAGCGACCGAGCGAAAGCAACCTTTCGCACGCGGAGCCCCGCCCCGCCGCTTCGCGCTTAACCTGAGCGCCCCGTTCCAGAGGCGCCTTTGTTTTATTTCGTTTTATATTTAATAAACGAGACGTCAGTCTTCAGCCTGACTCCGGCACGAAAGGTTGTCCATGTGTGCCCTTCGCAAAAGAACGTAAAACGAAACACGCGTGTCGCTTGTAGAGGAGCCACGAGTTGACACCAATCAAGTTGAGGAAATGCACAAACAGCTTTATGTACCATTTTGATAAACGTGTTGGTATCCTTTAGTATTCGATCAGCTGATCTGGAAGGTCAACGCCCCCCATTGTTTCCTTGCTCCACCTTTTGACTTGATCTTCCGGCTCAACTCCTGTCTAGGAGGATGCAAGCTGGACAGCTTTATTGTCCAGCCATTGAACCACAACAACATCCTCAGAGTATTCGACTTTATAGTCGAAGGAGCCTCTTCCTCTCTTTCGGAGGTCTTTTTCGGACTCTAAAACGCAGTTCCTCATTCGATTGGCACGGAATGTACCACAAGAAAAGACTCCTCTTCTCTTCAAAGCTTCTATAAGCTCAATAGAACAAAAACAGTTATCAAACGTCACCTTGAAGTTGCTGGCGTTAGGCAAGCCATTACATAATGCCATGACGATATTGCCACCAAAGCCGAGCTGGTAGTCTTCGCTTTTTTTCTGGGTGTCTGCTCCAGTGTACACCGCAAACTGGTAGAATACCTGGAATACCAGCCCGAACAAAAAGTTTAAACCCCACTTATGGGGTTTATTTTTTATTTACTGGCGAGGGCTTGATATTCCCTTGAATGGTGCCATCTGCTCATCAACACTTTGCGCTTCTTCTGGTGCCACAGCCAAGCATTTTTCCTGCAGTGCAACCAGAAAAGGACACAGCTTGAACAGACTGTCAAAGCCTGGGTCTCCTTTTGGCAAGATCTTGCTGTTGTCTGCAGCGTGGAAATACCTTCGGAGCTGTTTGAACCTGTTCTTTGACATCGTCTGAGACACCGGTGTAAACTGCAGCTTCTCATTCCAATAGAAGTGGTACTGCGGGAATGAAATCAGTCCTTTCATCAAAAATATCCCGACAAACTGCTCCATCTCATCTGCGTCTGTGTTCGTAGACTTGCCACTCTTCTGCACAGAGTAGAGGTTAGTCTGCTCTGCCATGTGCTCAAACATCTCCCGATCAAAGAACTGTCCGAAATACTGAAAGGGAGTCAGTATCTCGGGTGGTGGGTCCGGAAGCGAACTTTTCCACGAAGTGTCAACATCAGGGATTGACCTCTTCTGCCACAAGAATTGTCGTGCCCTCTTTTTTAGTTTCCTTGTAGATGTTGTTTTCGTCCTCTTGTGACCTCCTGTCCTCTGTACCCGTACATCTCGAGTTGATCTTGGCCTTTCAGAACAGTCGGATGAATCGCTGAGGCCACTCTCCTCGTCACTAGCAGTGCTTGGAAGGAAAATTTCATCATCGCTGTCGGATTCGGAGTGATGATGAATATCTCGTAACAAGGTCTGTGCTTCTGAGGGCTCAGAGTCATCTGGCTCATCGTCTGAAGTGTCGGCGGTAAAGATGCCCTCAAGGTTTCTGTCGCTTAACCTCAACGAACTCGGTCCTGGTGCCGGGCCATAAAACGTGGCCGAGTCCACCATGGCGAAGGCCAATGACTCCTGCAGGAATCATTGAAACAATGTAGCCTAAGTAGTGCAATATTTGTTTTAAATATATTTAGAATGATATATACTCTATCTTCAATAGGTTAAACGTCTCCTCGTAATTTTACAGATCTCTGCGATGCCTCTTACAATTGCAGTGAAGTCAAAAAGTTCTCCACGTAGATCCAAATTCGTCATCTAGTGGCCAAGTTTAATACTCCAGTACTCCGGGAATCATTGGTCGTTAATGGTATAGGTTTCGGTTTAGCTGTTTAGAACCAAAAATTACGATGTGTTATGATTCCTGTAGGAGTCACTGGACCAGAAAGTGTTAACAGCTCCGCTGTAAAATATGTTCTTTTCTGCCAGTAAAGTTTTCTTCAAGCACTGAAATTAACTAATGGTGAATTCTGGTCGTTTTGGAGCGCGCCGGAATCAACTTTTCTGGAGCGAGCCTATTTCACTGGGCAATCGGGATCGAGACGGACGTGCTCCACTGGTCGTTTTTAATTAGCTCCCGCTCCAGATCTCGATCTAGATCCGAGAAAAGTCGCTCCGGCAATTTTGGCGGATTCAACCGGAAGCCAGCCGGGCCAGCCCTCGGCGCACACACGTGACTTCCTTTCTTGTGGGGCATCTCGCCTGATCTCGCCCATCTCGCCTCAAGAATTCGTAATGGCTGCTTGGTTACCCCTTGGCTCGATAGCCAGTTCGTTTTCTTAGAAGGAGAAGGTTTTGCTGCGCTACGGGCATTCCGGCAATCTTTGCTAGAAGCTCCTGAGCCATTCCTGTCGCTCGTGCGTCAAACACGTGTTAGCGCCGCAATTGCAAAAACGTCTTCAAAACGACCGCGGCGGCCGTAAAAAGGGGATTCCCGGGCAGTTGAATCATGGGAAGGCATCCGCCGATCCTGGAGCAGTTGTCATGTTCCATGTGGGATCCATAGGCGGCGCGACCCCGTTCGGATCGTGTTCCTCATTCCGGATCTTGTCAACTGATCCTGGCGCGCTCCAAAACGGCCAGTGGAATTCAGCATAAGGGAATTCACTCTATATTTTTCGTTTTGAACATTAAATTTCGCAGTGTGGCTTTCTGTGCCATTACGAACCAATGGCATTCAACATGTATAGCACTGGAAAGTGCGTGGAGATTGCTACTCACGAACAGCTCATAAGAGAGAAAGCTCAAAGGCACTACAAAATCCTGCAAATAAAACAATGACCCTCTGTGTGCTTGTGCCCCTTTTTGTGTTCCCCAGTCTTGGTGCTTCTTTTCACAATGATTTGCCACCAGCTTGCCTGTTTTCTAGGCATAATTACAGTTATAACAAGGAGTTATGACAACTTTGGAACTGCAGGGAAATGTGCTTGTACAATGATCAGAAGGGGGGTTGTTGTAGCTTCCGACAGCAGACTTCTTATGGGACATCGGGGCTATCTCACTGACAAGTCTAAATAATCGTGGAGCTCGTTGTCCAGCACCTGCACAAATAAAATGTGCCACTCCAGTGTTAAGTACATATCACACAATCTCTTCGTCACTAGAAGCACTTATATCTCATTGCTGCATAGAAGTAAGAAAAAGTGCCTCAACTCATGGGAGAAGTGGGAAAAGGTACTTTTATTTATTTATTTCAGGTACCCCACAGCACTCGTGAGGGCATTATAGTGGGGGAGGGGCAAAAAAGAAATGCAAATGACGCCACAGCACATCAAGTAAAAAGCACGCGAGCCTGCAGCTAGGCACAGATCAGCGGAAACGAGTGCAACAAGAAAAGTAACACAGTGAAGCGCGCACATTGTCACTAGACTAGGGCGGGGGAGACGAAGCCTGGTAAGGAGAAAACAGGCTGGATGCAGAAGAGAGGAAAGGGAATCTTCCCCTCCTTCCTACGTCCAATCGACTTCCTCCTCACCAGTCTTCATTTCCCTCACCCCGCCCTTCTTAAGTTGTATCTGACTATAGTGTTAACTGCCGATTTCGGCAGTAGTAGCGAAAAAATAAACCACGTCAATGAGAAAAAAAACAAGCTTCACTCCGCAGGGCTTCGTTTCTTGTGCAAGGCTGCATTATTACACTTGCGCCACAGAAAGGACCGCACGGTTATGACGCTCTCCCCCTCGAACTTGCCCATGACGTGAACTGAAAAGAAAGCTCTGATGAAGGAAACTTCTACTCTACACATCCCCGTGTCACTGTTCTACTGATGTTCGCAAAAATTACATCCCAAAAGCGACCATGTGGGCCACCACATTGAGGAGGGCATACATTATCTCCTTTCAGGCCAATCAGGTAACACACCCGCAATGAGCACAAAACAATCAATGATTCTTCCAGCATCTATTTATACTTTATGAAGTTACTGCACAGGACAAGGCGCAAAAGGTAAATTCCAGACCAGGGGTTCTCGAACAATATGTATCTTTAGGAACACTCATCTCTTTTGGGGAATATCGGGGCTGGCTTGCTCAAACCGGCATCTCAGCCGTCTGGATGAAAGAACGCACAAACGAGGATAGCACACGTGTGAAGTGGAAGACTCAGTTCAGACCCAGGCACCCATGAGCCCCAGGCTTGGCAGGCTTTCTTTCACTCAGTCTCAGGTAAGGCACTCATTCGAGCAAGCTATGAAGAACCTTGCTCTCCACATTGCAGCAACAAAAGAGTGCAGAGGCGTATACACCTTATAAGCAATAACAATTAAAGAAGCACTGAATAAATTTTCAGGGACATTTTTTCAGAATATAGCGGTGCAGTTAAAATACATTGAATGTTGCAGATGACAAAATTGCTTACTATGCATGTGCGAAATACATGTGCAAATGTGAGCACATTTTTTTCCTTGCCTTCTTCCACAGGAGTAACGTGTCTGCTTCCAAGTCACACTAATATCATAATAGACAATCTGTCATGTCCCCCAAGCACCCCTGTGCATGCCCAAGGAATTGTGGAAACAGTGTTCCCTTGCCCCCTCTCCCATCCACCTGGACTACCTTGCCATGCATGTCTTTATAGTCTTTTGTGTTAATTCTATTTTTAATTACTCTAGTATTTAGGTAGTGTATATTCACTGGCAGTCATAGCTGAGCTTGCTGCTGCTTTCGTACCACCGTATCCGAGCGCAACGTTCACCGGGCGTGCAGGCCGCCATTACTCTATGGCGACAGCGATGAGGCTGGCCTTTCCAGCCCTCCCTCACCGTTGCACCGATGTTGGTTGCACCCTAGCTCTTGGCTTGAGAATCCTCTGCTGCAGACTATCCAAAGCCAAAGCTTAATCGTATTTTTTGTTTTGTCGGTTGTCCTTTTCTCAGTACAGTACGTGGGCTTTTTGGACATCGCATCGGCAAGCAAAGCGCGGAAGTTCTTATTTTTAGAAGATAAAGCTCGCATCCTGGCCTAAGTTGCAAGTTGACAGAAGAAAGCTGTCATCGCGGAAAGGTTAGGAATTTTCCCGAGTCCTTTTTCGACGATCCTAATGTCGAAAGATGCAATCGAAAAGGCTCTTGCATCCGGGACATCGGCCAAGCGAATGAAACTGACACCGTCGGCGCACGAAGAGCTCGACAAGGCCATGTACATTGCACTGAAATATGAAAGACCCACTGGGAGCGCGCGGCCGAGGCGGTGGCTGACGGGGGCGCTGCGAGAGCTCCAGGCAATTCCATTCTGCTTCGAGGGGAGGACGCTCACCTGCGACAAGACTAAAGCGCTTATCAGGTTGTGCTGAGCCCCGATTGAGTGTGCTGCCCTCAAAGCGGAAGGGAATAGCCCGAGCACTCGCAGTGCCCCCGCCAGCCACTTCCTCGGCCACGCGCTCCCAGTGGGTCTTTCATATTGCAGCACATGGTACACATAGTTTGTACAGATTTTTGTACCCCACAAGTTCAGGTAGGCCATTTTTTCTCGCAGGGGGCACCTGTGAAAGCAGGTGTTTGGAGAGTGGCGTATCCACGGACCCCGAGCCATGCGGGTTCCCCCGCCCCCGTCTGGCTGCGCGTGGCTTTCCCGTGTCCGGAGAAAAGGGCATCCTGGTGGTTGAGCCGAGCCCGGGGTAGGTTTAGACTCTTCGAAGCCTCGCGCAGTGTTGCCAGATGGTCCCACCGAAAAATCGCCAAACGGCTGGGAGGTATAGCCCAAATATAGCCAAAGCCATAAAATAAATATAGCCCAAAATAGCCAAGACTAAAAGCAACGATTTTTAAGCCTTTTATTGAGAATTTTTCATACGCGTAAAAAACAACACGTTACATTCTCTTTTTCAACCCTCAGATGCGCCTCTTTTTGTGCACATTAAGTCCCCTGATTAAAAAAATAAAAAATAAAAAGCTTCAGAAGGATGAAAATTTGTGAAACAATGACCCATCCTTTGTAGGTTTTCACAAGTAGAAAACATACATGGACAGCTGTATTGTGAAGCCCGGCAGATATGATCATACAGTAAAAGAACAGTATGCAGAAGCAGAACAGTCAGAACTGGGAATTTCAAACCGAAACCCCCTATCTAAGGCTCTTACCAATAACCCACCCGTCTATTTTTCTTTGTGTACAATATGAGCGGCCCCCATTCCGGTTCGCGCTATTTTTTATTGTGTTTCTTTCCTTAAAGTGGGCGATGCCTAAGAATTTTCACAATGAGCACCAAAGCTGCGCTTGGAGAGTTCAGTCTACGTCCGGGTAGAAGACGCGCTACCGGGCCTGTGGTAATAGTGCGATCTGTTTGTTTGATTTGTTCCACTGCGCTGTGGGGAGACCGCTTGAACTCTGCTAGCACTGCTTCTCTGCGCATTGTGAAAACCCCGAAGTTTGTGGAAGTTTGAAACCATTCTCCTTCCTCTCTCTCCTCTCAACTAGCCAAAAGAGAAACAATTTTTTTTCGAAACTGA